TCCCCGTGTGGAGCCACAGCGGCCTGGAGAAAGCGGATCCAGGCTATTCCCCGTGAGGAAGGACGTAGTTTTAGGGTCACTCTGAATATTTGAGTTGCAGCGATCATTTCGATCCCGAAATCGAAATCGTTTTGCCCAGCTCTACAAGGACAGGATGAGTCCAGGAAACCAAACAGCTGTCCTACAGTACCAGGTTTGCTTTTCGCAAGAGAGTGGAGTCTGGACGCCTTGCTCCCCATGATCGCAAAACAGTATTTGCTGAGCCTAGTGCATTTCGGTCATGGAAGTGCAGCGTCTGGATCAGCCATCACGAGCTCCCCATGCTCGCAAACCAGTATTTTGCTGAGAGGCAACGGCACTTTGAGTTGGAAAGGAACCTGGCTTAGTGCAGTTTGGTCCTGTAATGGAAGTGCAGCATCTGCATCAGGAGTTGGCAGCAAGTAGAGCTCGTGTACAGAGTCTCGTGGAGCAGTTGGACGATGTGAGGACTAGGGTGAAGAAAGCTGAAAAACAGCTTACGTACAATAACATAAAGAAAGACTCTGAGCCGCTCCAGTTTCTGACTGGTTTGCCTTCAGGTGTTTGGACCGCTCTGTGGGACTTCTTTGAGCCTAGCCGAGAAAATGTACTGCGCCGCGCCAGATCTGCGAAGACGGAAGCTGAGGGACGGCGGATACAGTTGGAGGTGGCCGTAAATCGCCAATGAGCATGTAATGGAGGATCAGCTGCTATTGGCATTGATGTGTGTAAGCCTGGGCCGAATGGAACAGAAGCTGGCATGCGTGGCACAAGTTAACCATCCGTTTCACGGTATATAGCTAGCTGAGCTGGAAAGATGTCTTGTTTCTCCGTTTGGGCATGATCCCCATCTGGGTGAGCTGGCGAGATGTTCAGTCATCAATGCCATGTACCGCAAGACATTCTGCAATAGGGATGAAACAGTTCTATTTTGCCATGCACTTAGGGTTCTCGCACCGGCACGGCACAGCACAACAAGACCCAACAGATCCTTGCGCTCTTATTTTCTCCCACTGTAAACTTTGCTGATCACAACACCCGGTAGCCAGTCGCAGATGCAACCAAATCAACCAGGTTCTTTTTTTCCAATATTTACATCGAATGCAGTGATGATTTCGATACTGTTCACTAGCACAACGCATTACCAGACTGGCATATAATCATGATAATAATTATTATCCATTTCTCAATCTCTGTCATTGCTTTCTTAGATCTCCAATCATCAATATCGGACCATAAACCGTCTACTAGTATCATCTTATATTATTTCATCATTAGTATCCTGCTACTATCCTCCTCTAACGATGAGCTTGAAGAAACGAAACAGCTGTCTAGAGGCGTAAATAATATCTGTCAACGGAAGTGTCCTTGCTGTGCTGGTGTGTTTATGCTTCGTGCATTAGTTCGGCCAAGAGCGCATGGTGGTGGCGGGTTGAGGATGTAGTACAGCGGAGTATGACCGAAAGCTCTGTCACGATGTATATTATTAGGAAGGTATAGAAACGGAAAAAAAACCTGTATCTTCATCTTGGGCGTAAACAGCCCGTCTCACATTAAATATACTAGAAAATAGTTCACTCTGAACATGCAGTCTTCCTAAGAGAGAGAGGGGGGGGGGGGGGGGTATATTCATAGGTTCGAAAGAACCGCACACACTTTGCTGCAGACAGCGGCAAGCTTTGGCCCTCGTGCTTTGAAGAGGGAGCAATCCACTGCGCTACGCTTGCGATTAACAGCAAGCTTCAACTTTTCAAAGGTACGACTCATCACTGGCTCTGGGGTAATGTTCCTGGAACAAATGCCCCATTGCCGACTGAGGGCCAGGGAGCACGCAATCTGCCTTCCTGGGCGAGAAGTGTTCCAGCACAAGAAGCAGCACGAATACATGCTGACAAAGACCACCATCACCACCAGCCGGCACACAGCACACTGTTCTTTAAACACCATCCACTCCGTCCATGTGTTTGCACTGTCCTCCTCTAGCTCTTCACGCTCAACAAATACCACGCACTGCTCATCTTTTTTTTTTGCTTCCTCTGGGTTGGCTAGCCCTTCGACTTGACAAAACAGCGATCACCACTGCACTGCTATCGTCACCTCATAGCAGTCGCTTCCACCAGTGGCTTTTCCTGTCTTTGCAAGGTGTCCAAGGATGGCTGCTGTTGTCACTACAGGCAAATCAGAAGTACTTTAGTGGCTGATGTCCAACCAGAAAATCGATTTTTCCACTTCAGGGCTGCTGATCGCGATCGCGACTTGGTGACTTGGCAGCACCACGGTTACCTTCATAGAAGATGGCTCTGGAGAGGAAAAGGCAGACCAGAAAAAGGTTACTATTGTCTTCAGCACCGATCTCAACGCCTAGGCACAAAATAAATCTCAAAACTTTCACGATTCACGATTCGAATAATTTCAACAACAAAAAAACTCACCTCTGGAGTAACTCCTGTTTGTGGCCCGAGATCGTTCCGTCCCGCGCCTTGAAAAAATCCTACAGCTGCATCACAGTCCATGTCTCTCTCGGAGACTCTGCTCCTACCAGCAGGAGGTTCAGCACCGCTCGAAGCCATCACAAACTACTTGAACTAAGCAGAAGACATTCCAAAACAAACCTGAAACACACTGTCAAAGATGCTGTCACGTTCAAAAACTAGCTCGATCGCGAGTGAGGTTGCCCCCGTGCTCGAACCCAGTATAATAAGGGGATCGGTCTATTCGTGAATAACGACAGAATTATTTCCACGCCCAGAGCAAAATAAATAGTATGACGTCATCTTTGGGTTTGAGGAATGTTTGGGTTCTTCAAAACGCGCCAGGCCAGGGGCCAGGGGCCCAGGGCAGGAAAGGTTTTTTTTTCAGGCGTTAGCGCTGGCCTTGCATGTAGTACAGACTAGTAGTCTACAGTCATCTTGTAGATCTCCAGCTAGCTGTACTTCATTAGATCTACATGACATGACTGTGTACTCGTCTGGTAGCCGCTAGCTTTTGCACTTCGGTTTTGAAGACATGATCGTTACTCTTCTACTACTACTACTAGCACAAAAAATCTTTACCACCAAAGAAGAATATAATTACCGTTATGAAGAAGTAGGTACTTAGTTGAACTCTGGCTACTGTAAATCCCAAGGGACAGCGTCGCTTCAACTCAGACAGGTGTGCGTGTGAAACGTCAAGTGGGATGTAGAACTTGAGTCCTAGCGTCCGAAACTACCAGAAGTAGCAGGTCTGGACATTCGGCAGGATTTCTGCAAACATTACTGAGGTCTACAGAATTTGGAACTTTTAGAATTTCAGTTTGCCAGTGTAGCATCTTGCTGGATCCGGCTGCTTTCAGTATACTACATGTGTGTAAGTGTTCTATCTGTGGGCGCTATCGCTACTGTTCAGTACTTTGAAGTAGAATATTAGTGGGAGACAATCAACTATGGACACGTGCAAAACACAATCATTTTGTCCTTGTCATAATTATCGTCTATGTGTCAAATAATTATGAATATTTAAAGATCATGCTTGTATCCTCGCTGTTCCACTCCAAGTGTATAAATCCTATTGTAGTTTCATCATTCTCTTTAGTCACGAATTCCATTGATAATAGTGACAAGAAAATGTTCTGGAATACATGATTCGTCCCCATGGTTGTGATATGAGTGCGCATTTAGTTATATTCATTGCATTATTAAGATTATTGTCTCCACGTCGCCTTTTTACATATTTAAAGATCAAATAATCTTTTTTTCATTTTTTTCACCATCAAAATTAATGATCTTTTAATATTTAAAAAGGATCTCCCAGAGGCGATGGGCTGTCAAGGGGATGTCCTAATGAAATAAACAGGAAAATATTAGTAAAACATAATAGATCATGGATCGCCTGGGAAGTGTCTATACAGGATATAATGTAGAGATCATGCGGTTACGTCATCAGTTGAGATGCATTGGCAAAGTCAAGGGGGCCCTCTCGTGGCACAGCGATGCACTAGCGACTCGCGCCGTATACATAGCGTACCGTTAGCGGTTCTGCTGAATCGCCCACCATGACATCATTCTCATTACCTCAAGGCCCAGTAAAAGGCCGAGGCTCCCCAAGGGGCTACTTTGTGAAACAATTACGTCACAGGTAAAGTAGTATTTTTGACCCTTTTGGTACTCTAATTTCAGAAATTTTAGGTGCTCGATATTTTCGGTATGAGGGCACAAGGCCAGGTTAGGTGAACAGAAATTTTAGGTGCAGAGAAGCAGTTCCCTATTGGATTGTGTGTGTTAGTATTTGTTCGGTGTATTGAAATTTTAGGTATGAAACAGACGCACCGAAAGTACCGAAAATAAAAGTACACCGAAAATTTGTGAAATTACAATATTGAGGAAAATCAGTGAAAATCAGTGATGTCTTATACTAACGAGCCTATACTGCAATACGGCTAATTCTAGCACCCGTAATTCTTTAGCAAAAGGTGTGTCTCCCTTTAAGTTCTGCCGTGTCAATCGAAATCTTGCATGCCCGGACACTATTTGTCATCTTCTTCTCTTTTTAAACTCTGGAACTTGGATCGCTAAAATATTTCCTAGCGAATTTGGTCTAGATTCAGAAAACGCTAAAATTCGTCACCCCGCAGAAATTAGCCGTTCTGCCGTAAAATCAATGACATTAATGATGTATGGCTCTTGCCTGGTTTTGTACTGTGCCGATGGTGGTCGTAGAAGTCAAGTTATTATTAAGTTTCTTGCAGCAGGTCGTGACGTCACTGCTCACGCTCGTGTACCTTCCAAATGCAGCAAACGTGCGCCGAGGTCACGTCGATAGTATTCCCCGGCAATGAAGATAAAAATAATATTGAGCAAGACTTACTGACTCTTGTGTGTGTGTGTGTGTGTGTGTGTGTGTGTGTGTGTGTGTGTGTGTGTGTGTTTGTGTGTGCGTGCGTATGGGTGTATGTGTATGCGTGTGTGCGCGTGTTCTGTCTTTCTTGCTCTGTTCAACTTCAGATATTGATTTAGATTTCGACTCGGGGAGCGGCTCGGCCATTGTCTCGGGCAGTGGCAGTGGCAGTGCGAGTGGCAGTGCGAGTGGATCCGCAAGCGCTGATGACTCTGGTAGTGTGGACCTGAGTGGCTTTGCCTCGGCATCCGGTTCCGCATCGGCATCGGCATCTGCGAGTGCTTCGGGCGACGACTCTGGGTCTGCTTCAGCATCGGCCAGTGCCTCTGGTGATGACAATACCGGAAGTGAGTTTTTCAACCTTTGACCATATCCCCCCCCCCCCTCTCCCTCTCTCTCTCTTTCTCTTTCTCCCTCTCTATCTCTCTCTCTCTCACTCTCTCTCTCTCTCACTCCCTCACTCCCTCCCTCACTCCCTCCCTTCTTCCCTCACTCTCTCTCTCTCTTTCTCTTCTCCATAACCAGGTGTACGATTGTTCTTGTATGGAAGATTTGCACCTGCTTGTCTTCATTTGTGTGCTCAATGCTTGCTCCCTCCAGTTTGATCTGTCACTGTTTGATCTCGCACAGATTGCTCTCTCCGGTTTGATCTCTCCAGTTTGTTCTCTCCGGTTTGATCTCTCCATTTTGATTTCTCCGGTTTGATCTCTCCATTTTGATCTCTCCGGTTTGATCTCTCCGTTTTGATCTCTCCGTTTTGATCTCTCCGGTTTGATCTCTCCATTGTGTTCTCTCCGGTTTGATCTCTCCGGCTTGATCTCTCCGGTTTGATCTCTCCGGTTTGATCTCTCCGGCTTGATATCTCCGGCTTGATCTCTCCGGCTTGATCTCTCCGGTTTGATCTCTCCGGCTTAATCTCTCCGGCTTGATCTCTCCGGCTTGATCTCTCCAGTCACCTGTGTACCCCCCCCCCCCCTAGTTTAAATGTTTCTGTTTCTTTCATGTGATTCTGTTAATAGGTGCAAGCGCTAGCGGCAGTGCCAGTGGCAGCGCTAGTGGCAGTGGCAGTGGCAGCGCTAGTGGCAGTGGTAGCGCTAGTGGCAGTGGTAGCGCTAGTGGTAGCGCTAGTGGCAGTGGCAGCGCTAGTGGCAGCGCTAGTGGCAGTGGCAGCGCCAGTGGCAGCGCTAGTGGTAGCGCTAGTGGCAGTGGCAGCGCTAGTGGCAGTGGCAGCGCTAGTGGCAGCGCCAGTGGCAGTGCCAGTGGCAGTGCTAGTGGCAGCGCTAGTGGCAGCGCCAGTGGCAGTGCGAGTGCGAGTGGCAGTGGTAGCGCTAGTGCCATTGACAGCGGCAGTGCTAGTGGCAGTGCGAGTGCCATTGACAGCGGCAGTGCGAGTGCCATTGACAGCGGCAGTGCGAGTGCCATTGACAGCGGCAGCGCTAGCGGCAGTGGCAGCGGCAGCGCTAGTGGTAGCGCTAGTGGCAGTGGCAGTGGCAGCGCTAGTGGCAGTGGTAGCGCTAGTGGCAGTGGCAGCGCTAGTGGTAGCGCTAGTGGCAGTGGCAGCGCTAGTGGCAGTGGCAGCGCTAGTGGCAGCGCCAGTGGCAGTGCCAGTGGCAGTGCTAGTGGCAGCGCTAGTGGCAGCGCCAGTGGCAGTGCGAGTGCGAGTGGCAGTGGTAGCGCTAGTGCCATTGACAGCGGCAGTGCTAGTGGCAGTGCGAGTGCCATTGACAGCGGCAGTGCGAGTGCCATTGACAGCGGCAGTGCGAGTGCCATTGACAGCGGCAGCGCTAGCGGCAGTGGCAGCGGCAGCGCTAGTGGTAGCGCTAGTGGCAGTGGCAGTGGCAGCGCTAGTGGCAGTGGTAGCGCTAGTGGCAGTGGAAGCGCTAGTGGTAGCGCTAGTGGCAGTGGTAGCGCTAGTGGCAGTGGCAGCGCTAGTGGCAGTGGTAGCGCTAGTGGCAGTGGCAGCGCTAGTGGCAGTGGCAGCGCCAGTGGCAGCGCTAGTGGTAGCGCTAGTGGCAGTGGCAGCGCTAGTGGCAGTGCTAGTGGCAGCGCCAGTGGCAGCGCTAGTGGCAGTGGCAGCGCTAGTGGCAGCGCCAGTGGCAGTGCGAGTGGCAGTGGTAGCGCTAGTGCCATTGACAGCGGCAGTGCTAGTGGCAGTGCGAGTGCCATTGACAGCGGCAGTGCGAGTGCCATTGACAGCGGCAGTGCTAGTGGCATTGACAGCGGCAGTGCGAGTGGCAGTGCGAGTGGCAGTGCGAGTGGCAGTGGCAGCGGATTTGTCGACTGTCCAGAGTTCTTCTTCCGACCGCCAGGTGTCGCAGACTGCCAGCCGTGCAACTGCTTTGAGCTGGGCAGCGTGAGCTGTGACGGCCTGACGGGTGTGTGCATGTGCCTCGACGGAGTCGTGGGCCCGTCCTGCGATGCGTGCGCACCCAACACGTTCCAGGACCCGGACGTTACGCAATGTTCACCGTGCACTTGCAACGTAAGCGGCACCGCACTCTGTAATCAAACCAACGGCGTGTGCCAGTGTCTGGAGAATGTCGTCGGGGAGCTGTGCGACCAATGTGCGCCGAATTTCTTCCAGCAGACGCCAGGGGACCTCTCGACGTGTAGTCCGTGCGCATGCAACCCCAGTGGAACTCAGTTCTGTAATCAAGCTGATGGTGTGTGTCAGTGTCTTGATAATGTCGTTGGCGACCTATGCGACCAATGTGCGCTGAACTTCTTCCAGCAGACACCAGGGGATCTCTCGACGTGCGGTCCCTGCACTTGCAACCTGACTGGAACTCAGTTCTGCAACCAGACGAATGGGTTTTGCACGTGCTTTGAAAACGCCGTTGGCCAGTCGTGCGACCAATGTGCGCCGAATTTCTTCCAGCAGACACCAGGGGACCTCTCGACGTGTAGTCCGTGCGCATGCAACCCCAGTGGAACTCAGTTCTGTAATCAAGCTGATGGTGTGTGTCAGTGTCTTGATAATGTCGTTGGCGACCTATGCGACCAGTGTGCGCTGAACTTCTTCCAGCAGACACCAGGGGATCTCTCGACGTGCGGTCCCTGCACATGCAACCCGACTGGAACTCAGTTCTGCAACCAGACGAACGGGTTTTGCACGTGCTTTGAAAACGCCGTTGGCCAGTCGTGCGACCAATGTGCGCCGAATTTCTTCACGCAGACGCCGAACGACTTCTCCACGTGCACTGCGTGCCAGTGTAACCCCGTCGGCGCGCCGGGAGCGTGTGACGGGATCACCGGCCTGTGCACGTGTCGCGCCGGTGTTACCGGCGCACTGTGCGACGTCTGCATTCCCAACTTCTTCGCGCTGGAAGACGACCTGGCGCGCTGCGTCCAGTGTCCGTGCGATCCGCTCGGAACGCTGTCCTGCAACGCCGACGGTGAGTCCCGCTATTGTCTACTGTCAAAATGAGAAAGGACGCGTGTGTTACGCGTCATGGGTAACTATCCACTACGGTAACAAGATAATACGCGGTTAGCGGTCTCTACTCGTAACCCATGTGTCTTTTCTCATTTTACATTTCACTATTGGCACATTACCCGTGTGTTATAGACCATAGTGTCTTGTATTAAAGCCTATCTCATAATAGAAGCCTGTTTTGAATAGAAGCCTGATTTTCAAGATACACCGCGGGCACATAAGCCTGGTTTTAGTGTTGACACATATAGACATACCTGGTTTGAATAGAAGCCTGATGTGAGTAGAAGCCTAGCCCTGACAGCGGCTTCTACAGGAATACGCCCGGCTTTAATAATATGCGACATCACGGTATTGTCCTCAGGGTTCATGTTCTCCAGTATAGCCTTTTCCAGCAGGGCAGTGTTATTGAAGTAAAAAGAAAGTGACTCAAAGTTAGAAACAGTGTTGAGCCAGCAATGAATGTACTTCGAAGTAGAACGGAAAGGTGCATATGGACACGAGTTAAAAGGGACTATCCACCACAGAAGCTGCTTTTCGTATTTGCAGTTACATTGAGCCATGGTGTTTTTGTCTGATGTTTGTGAATCCTTCCCGGAAGCAAATGCTGGTTTTTATGCATTCGTGTAATTACTCAGCGTTATTTGCAATAATAATAATAATAATAATAAATCCACCACAGTAGCTAGATACTATTAGCGTAAAGTACCGCCAGAGCGCCCCGTCTCGCGAGAGCGCCCCACCTTGATTTTACAGCCAGAGAAAGGAAAATCGTATGCCCGAGTGCAACGAAGTTTGTATGATGTGAGAATAGTGTACTATAAAGGTCACACTTGGCAGGTTTTGTGTGGAGCTTGTGTCCGCTCGAAGGTACGGACTGACTGCAAAACGTGCAGTATGTGTACAAGGTTCATGTCGTATGACCTACAGACAGCAGACCACCTCCACAATACGATCACGAAAGGATGAGATGGTGGGGCGCTCTGGCGGTACTTTACGGTATACGTAAAGTAAGCGTGTATGCGTTTTTCGGTGGTCCCTCTACCTCAGGTCTGCTCTGGGACCATACTTCCATTCCATATCAATCATTAGGTCTGCTCTGGGACAATACTTCCATTCCTTATCAATCTTAATAAAGCAATAAATAGATCTAACTCTGCCGTCATCACCATGCTTCTACGAAGTCAAATGTTATCCAAAATCGATTATTCATTCAACATTGCTTTCCTAAATCGGTGTCGAGACTATGGCCTTTAAACGGCAGAGCTAGTTCCATTTATTGCTTTATTAAAATGGTTGTCTCCGCGGCGTTTATCCATATCAATTATTTTTAATTTTATGATGAATATGCTTGCGTATATATCCTAGATAGGCACACCCGTTGTTGCCTGGGCCGGAGGCACATGTATAGTCGTATGCGGGCACTGAAATCCGACCCGCGAGTCCAAAGCAGCGCCGCATCTTCGCGTCCTCTCTCTCTCATTGTGCACTGTCCAAAGACCCATCGCAGCGGCCGCATGAGCTTTCGGCACGTGGGTCGGACTTCTGTGGCCCCGACTGTACAAGGTGACCGACGTGGAAATTTGGAAATACGACCCTTCATAATGATAGTCATCCTCCCCCCCCCCCCCCCCCCCCCCCCGTGTGTGTGTGTGTGTGTGTGCGTGCCTGTGTCAGCAATCCAATCTCTTGATCAGTTCTCATTTTTTTCGATCTTTGCTATAACGCATCCCCTTGGCTAGGTACGCCTATTTCTCTTCAATAGCTGCCATCACCCCTAGTGTCTCTCTGCTCTATCGTGCTGCTGTGTTGTAGAAGAAGGATCCACGAGAGGGATTCGAGCCCAGCACCCCTGTCTTTCGGGGACAGTGCCCTACCGATTAGGCTACCAGGGATCACACACACACACACGCGCGCGCACCTCCTTCTTGCTACACACACGTGGGGCGTTTTAATCTGACTTACCTGTGTGTAAGGATTAAAATACACAGAACCAGCTTAATCAATAAGACTTATAGAACCGCCTTAAGTGGCATTTTACGATGGTTCTATAACCAGCGTAAGAAAGGGTAGCTTCAGCTGGTTCTCTTTATTGCAATCCTTAACCCGTGTGTTTCTATGGTTACAGGCACTTGCAACTGCCGTCCCAACGTTGCCACGGGAGGTAGCTGTGACGTGTGCATGCCAGGATTCTTCGGCAGCGTGGACGACTGCCAGCCGTGTGACTGCTTCACGGCGGGAACACTGGGTGGCAGCAACCTGTGCGAGGCCACGCAGGGACAATGCCCGTGTGATCAGTTCAGCACATGTAAGCCAATGTGAAATTGCTGTGTTTGGTGTGTCCGTATACGCATCCCGCTCTCCGTATGCGTTTGCTGTTATCTGTTGTACTCACTTCCCATACGCATGTCAATGCGAGCCGAAATCGCAAGTCGACCGACACTGTACATATGACATGTACATGCATGCGATTTTCGTCGTCCAGCATAGCAAGCTGTGTTCGTTTCGGAGGGAGGGGAGGGGTCCGGTTACGAAATGAACGATGTTTGTTTCAGGGACGACAAAAAACGTTTGCGACGACCCCCTTACAGTATCAAATTGTCTTTCATCCGATCCCGACTTCAAAAATCGATGCACTTCCCCTTTAATAAAAACCCCGCAGTGTTTTCCTTTTACTTCTCTCCCCTCTTCGTACGAGTAGTGCCTTCAGCTAAAAAGAGCCCTGATGGTGATTGTTTGGACTGGTCAAATGGACATCGCCAACAGACAGCTACAGTCCATTCATCGGAAACAGTCCCGCTGGCTTTTGAAAGTCCGGTTTGGGCCGAATGGAGGATCAAAAACCCACTTTAAATCCACAAAAATCTGGGTTTGGAATCTGTTTCTCTATACATTTTGCCATGGCGTACCTGTGCTAATTTGTAAAACCTGGCTGAATTTCTATTTCCCTGTTCTTGGACTTTTCTGGCCTCAAATGTGGCAAGGAGTAATTGCACGGGTTACACAATGCAGAATGTGCTGTTGTTTTCACGATATCTACACCTATGCGCGGTAGACACCGAACAGTTGGGGTGCCAGTTTCCAATGAATGGACTTGTAGTTGATTGAGGTTATCAACACACTCCTACCTTGTTTGTCCGGGTGGTCCGGGACCCTCGGGCACTTCCCGTAACCATGTGCGTCTCCTCTCTTGTGTACTCCAGCTCGTACTTGTGAGGGTTGTCAGCCGGGCTTCTACGACCCGGTGAGCACCGCCAGTTTCCTCGATCTCTGCACCGTGGCCGGCTGTCAAGTACTCGCCGGTCAACGCTGTCAGCGTAAGTACAGAACAGTACAGGACTGTTGGACGCCGAAAAACGAACGGCCTAGAATTTCGCCAACCACAGCATACCAATGTGTTCCTGGTGCCTCAACTTTGCATTGACTGTGATACATGAAAATGATGACGGTCTAGTCGGAGAGGCTGAACCCCAGTACGGTACAGTACAGTGCAGTGCAGTGCAGGACTGTTGGACGCCAGAAAGCGGCCAGCCTAGCATTTCACCAACCACAGCATACCATTGTATACTCGGTAACTCAACTGCGCATAGACTGTAATGCATGAACATAAGAATTGTCCAGGGTAGGAGGCTGAACCCCCAGTTCTTTGGCACCCATCAGTGGTGTAACCCCTGTGTTTGCCGCTACAAGTACTAACCTAAAGAATCCTGTCTTGACCAGACACATTGTTATACGGTAAAACCTGTAACTAAAGACCACCGTGACTAGCGACCAGCCTGCTACTACAGTAAAACCTGTAACTAAAGACCACCGTGACTAGCGACCAGCCTGGTACCAGTAAAACCTGTAACTAAAGACCACCATGACTAGCGACCAGCCTGGTACTACAGTAAAACCTGTAACTAAAGACCACCGTGACTAGCGACCAGCCTGGTACTACAGTAAAACCTGTAACTAAAGACCACCGTGACTAGCGACCAGCCTGCTACTACAGTAAAACCTGTAACTAAAGACCACCGTGACTAGCGACCAGCCTGCTACTACAGTAAAACCTGTAACTAAAGACCACCGTGACTAGCGACCAGCCTGGTACTACAGTAAAACCTGTAACTAAAGACCACCGTGACTAGCGACCAGCCTGCTACTACAGACCACTTTGCCAGGCACGGACGCCGGTCTCACATTCATAATATGGTTGTGCAGTGCAAACCTCTAACTAAGGACCACCTGCCACTAAGGACCACCTGCCACTAAGGACCACCTGCCACTAAGGACCACCTGCCACTAAGGACCAGTTTATCTGGCCCCGAAAGGGTGGTCGTTAGTCACAGGTTTTACTGTGCTCCAAGGTGCTTTGGATCGAATGTGCACCCCTGGATCCAGCGGAATCCTGTCATATCAGGACAGTTTCTGCCGCACCGAGGGTGTCCGGTTAGGCTAGGTTATACTGCACTCACAGTACTATCGTTCGGCAAAGAATGGAGCGCCGAGAACGACCAGAGTTGAATATCACCAAGCACAGCATACCAATGTATACACAGTGACTCCATTGTGCGTTGACTGTAGTAAACGTTCTGCAAGACCACTTCTATTATGAGTTTGCTTATGCTTTTCTTGCTCCTGTGTCTTCTCCGGCTACTCTGTTCGATATGTTGTCTTCTTCAGCCTGCACGTGCGATCCCCAGGGCAGCACGAGTGCCGACTGCATCGATGGCATCTGTACCTGTCAGCCGGGAGTGCTTGGACCGAAATGTAACGAGTGTCCGCAGGGACAACTGTTCCAGAGCGACACAGGCCGTTGCGAGTGTAAGTATATTTTTAATATTTTTTTACACGAGAGAGAGAGAGAGAGGGGGGGGGGTGGGGGGGGGAGGAGGCAGACAGTGCTGCAACTCCGAGTTTCACCTAGTCACGATCATCAGGCAACTGGGATGAATTTTTTTTACTGGTACTCGCACTATGCTGATGATACCAACCTCTTGACTTTCGCAATTCCTATGCCTGTGTGTTTCCTTTGATTCACCCGTACGGCACTCTTTCCCGAACACATGAAACTTCTTTCAGTGGTAGAACCCCTGGACAGGCTTGGAGCATCCGTGTAGTCGTTAAATACAGTAAATACAAATAAATACAGTTCTTTTAAGTAGAAGTCTGAAGAAAATGTTGAACGGCCTCTGCTGGGATGACGACTACACCATAGCTCAGTGGTTAGGCCTCGCGGGCTACAAGCGAGGGTCCCTGGTTCGAGTCCTGGTGGTGACAGTCAATTTTTTCTTCAGACTTTTCCCGTTTGTCTCTTTCCCTCAAACCAGTCAATCGTTTAAGTAGTGTATTTATTTGCCTCCTCATCGAATATTTAAAAATATTCAATGAGGAGACAACAGTTTTAATATCGCAATAAGGAGGATGAGCTGAAGTGACAATGGATAACTTTGCTCAACAATGTGAAGCGATGGAGTCGAAATACAGCACTGCTCAATGATATCCAGTCGTGTCACTCAAGTACGCACCGGGCATTGCGCAGCCCTTGACCTGCGAGCACTGGGTTGCGAAAAGGGTGCAAGGCGCAAACGTGAGTGCCGCGCCTGGATTTCATTGTGCAGTACTGCACAACACTGTGTAGAGGCGGTGTCGTAATCCTGCTTCTAAGTACTGATGGCGAGATAGCTCGCTGTGTAAAGAGTACCTGAACGGCGGATGACGAGATATCTCGCTCCACTGCCCACGCAGTAGTACAAAGTGCATATATCACTGTACAAACTGGATGCGAATGTTGTGAGTAATGCTGTGGTGTCTCATGACCGTACGGGACAGCATGGGGGCATTCAGCGCCACGAATTGCTGTGTATGCCCCTACTGGCCCCCAGATCTTCCCAGAGTCCCAAGCTCCCCGGAGACGGCGAGAGATACGGAGCGACCGTTTTCAACAGATCATGTTTTCTTCTTGTGACCTTGTGTGTGTGTGTGTGCTGTTGTGTCGCAACTATGCCCTGTTCTTCCTACAGCTCCCGTCAACTTTCTGCCCTTCGGCCCACAGGCAAACGACAACCAACTTTTTGAGCAGCCCAATGGTGTTTTACCCTCTATCGCCTCGCAAACCGTGTTCTTCGGAACGTCGCTGAACTTTGGCGATCGAACGTTCTCGTCGGGCATTGTACGTAGAAAGGAACATCTGTTTTTGTTGTCGTTGTCGTCGTCGTTGTTGTTCGTACATAGTTTGGGGATTTCAGGGGGTGTTGACCGTTGGGCGGTTCAATAGCCAATTGAGTCATCTATCCAAGGTTCCCTTTGAGTGTCTCTCCCCTGTCCCGGGAGACCCACATGACCATTTTTGGCAGTGAGCAAGTACAAGTGTGTGTGTGTGTGTGTGTGTGTGTGTGTGTGTGTTATCGCTTCCGCGATGGGCAGGTCTGAGGTCTGAGGTGTGTGTGTGTATGTGTGCATGTGTGTGTGTGTGTGTGTGTGTGTGTGTATGTATGTGTGTGTGTAGCTAGGGGGGCACAGTGTAATAGGTGTATGTATGCTACGACCTGAATACTCACTATTTGTATTTCCCGCTCGTTCCCCTTGGCAATGAGCACTCACATAGAAGAGCGCATGCTCCAGTTCTGTTGTAGTCTAGTCTTGAGTTGTCGTTGTCCTGTTCTCCTTGTCTACACTCTTCTCGAATACTTCTAATTATCCAATCATATAAAACCCCTGTGTTCCGGTGTGAGGGGGCATCATTAGCCGGGAGCAGCTAACACTGGTGGCAGCGGCAAACGTCCACCACTACATCGCTGGCGGAGTATGTACGCCTTCGGAGATCGCCGACTATGAAGTACCACGAAGGCCCACGCAAGTGAAACCATATCCTCATCCACTCTCTTCGTCATTATTTTCCTTTCTGCATTGTGTTTCTTTCTGCTCGTCGTTTTCTTGTTGCATGCATTGTTTACCATGGTTTACAGTCCATAGGTCAAGCATTGGCGCCAACCTGTCTGGCCAAACATTTTCGGAACATTTTCTGTGTCCGTGTTTTGTGCATACTGACTGGTATCTGTTGTTGTAGGATAACTGCTGGCTGGGTAGTAGAGTCTACACTGTGTCCGTAGAGTACTAGTAGTTGCCTATTTGGAATTGTCTCTGCCAAATTAAGTAATTAGTTGTTTGCCGCTACGCACGATAGGTTACGTAATAGATTGAGATCGATAGTTGATCGAGTCCACGGGAAATTTTTGCAGATATTTTTTTTCGAAAACTCAAAAATACAAAAACAATTTTTTTTTTTCACAATGGGCCGTACAGCGAAATCCAAGAGACAAGAAAAGCTAGAGCGTAGCTTCGCTGAAGCTGGCTGTGACATGAATGCTGAAGAGCGCGAGAGTTCGCCGGTACAAGGGTTGTCCCATCGTTTTCGTTTGCCGGACACAGACACACCACATGCACGTCCACTGCCGAAGCCAGTCTTGCTTCCTGAGACATTCGGAAATCAGCCAGGCCAAGATTTCACCACGTACATGAGGCATTTCGTCCACACATGCGAGTTGAGTGGGTACGACGACGACCAAAAGCTACGGCTACTACCTGCTCGCCTTGTTGGTACAGCTCATGAGATGTTCACCGAAATTCTAACTCACACGCCTGACATAAACTTTTCAGACGCAGTCGAGGCTCTGCATGTCCGTCTTGAGCCGCCCCAGCAAGCATTGATGCACGAGGCCAGTCTTCGCCAGCGAGTGAAGCTGGCGAGTGAAACTCAGCACGGGTATGCCACGGAACTTCGTCGGCTCGCTCGTCGAGCCTACCCAGGACAACAAGGTGCACTGCTTGATTCAATGCTTTTGCAACTTTTTATTGATGGCCAGGCATCGAAGGATTTGCGCTTGGCGTTGGCGTCACCTCGGCCCACTGATTTGGATGCGGCGGTCCAAAAGGCCATCGAGGTAGGTGCTATTTATGCTCGCGAGCAGGCCCGCACCGTACCTCACCAGTACGCACAGCCCGTATTTGCTGCTGCTCCGGAAGTGAAGCCCCGTCATGGTCGTGACCCCTACACAGCAGTCGGTCCACTGAAGTCGGAATCTGAGCGAGACCAGTTGGCTTCGCTTTTGTCGAGTTTTGATTCGCGTCTCTCTGCTTTGGAGGCGAAAATGGAGAGCGCGAGTCTGTATCGCCCCACCCGACCCCAGCAAGACCATGTACGTTTTGTTGCTCGTGGTGCTGGTGCTGGTGCGCCTAGTCGTGGTCGTGGCCAGAGTTTTGCGAGGCCTGTCCGTGGAGTGTGCCATGGATGTGGTGAAGAGGGCCACTTCATTGCATCTTGCCCGCACGCAAAAAACTAGGTTGGACTGGTGACACGGGGCCGCCGTCAGTCGTCCGAGTGGAGCCCCTCGAGGAGGTATGTGGTGCGATCTCACCCATTATTGTGCACGTTGATGTTTGTCTTTCGTCTTCGTCTTCGTCTCCTGTTGTTGCTCTTGTTGATTCTGGTTCAAGTGTGTCGTTAGTGCATTCTAAATTGTTGCCTAATTTGACAGAGCGACCTCCTCTAGAGTCTGCTCCGCGGTTGTGTGCAGTCAATGGCGCACAACTTCCTGTCGTTGGATCCATGGATCTGTGTATGTCGCTAGGAAATCTGTCTTTCCAGCACACGGTTGTTGTGTCTCCTGGTATTCACTGTGACATGATTCTTGGTTCCGATTTTTTGTTGCAGCATGGTGGTGTATTAGATATTGCTCGTGGTGTTGTGATGTTTGGCGATGTGTCTGTTCCGTTGCATGTTTCTGGTTCCGGGTGTCCTCCGTCACGTACGCCCTATGGCTATGATCGTATTGTTCCGCGTAATACTTCCCCCTCATGTAATAGTACTCATACTCCTCATTCTGATTCTGATGCATGCTCCGACGATGTACCTGTTTCGTCGTATTCTTCTCGTGTTGCCCTTGACGATTCATTGTCTGCACGGGTTGTTGAACCCATGGCTCAACCTGGCGTTGTCCCGGCGTGTGCGCCCGAAAGTGTGGCCGACCCTGTGGTATACTCATCTCGTGTGGTGTTTGAGATGGAGTTGTCGGTACCTGCAGGACATGTTGTCTTGGTGCCTTGTGCAGCTGTTGATGTGTGCACGGTTGCGATGGATTGCGTGGCAGATCCATTGGAGTCCTTTATGGCGAAGCATCCAGATGTGGCAGTGACTCCTAGTCTTGTAACTGTTGGCCCTAACCAAACACGTGTGGTTGTGGCTGTTGAAAATCATGCAAATCATCCTATACTCATTCATAAAAATACCAATGTTGCCGAACTTCATCAAATTCCTACAGATTGTGAACATATTGACGACACTGAAGCTATGGTTTCCTCAGTTTCACCCGACCCGATCCCGCTAACTGAGCAACGCAAGAAAGTCATCGATGAATATATCAACGCACAAAATCATCTCTCCACAGAACAGTCTCGCACGCTCACTGAACTACTTCATGATAACCACGATTTATTTATCTTGCATGATGATGACTATGGCTACTGTGACATATTCCCTCATAAAATTAACACAGGACAAAATAACCCTATAAAACAACCTACCCGGCGGATTCCATATCACCGCCGGAAGGCTCTGCAAGATCTACTGAATACGCTGTTAAAGCAAGGCATAATACAAGAATCGATTAGTCCGTGGGCATCACCCATAGTATTGGTGCCAAAGAAGGATGGCTCTCTTCGACTCTGTATCGACTACAGGAAGTTGAACTCTGTCGCCGAACCTGACGCCTACCCGATTCCCCGGGCGGATGACATGCTTGATTCCCTGTCTGGCTGTCGGTATTTCACGTCCCTTGACTTCGCGTCAGGGTACTGGCAAATAGCAATGGAAGGAAGCGACAAGGCTAAGACGGCATTTACCACGCCACTGGGCTTGTTTGAGTTTAATGTTCTGCCGATGGGCTGCAGGAATGGCCCAGCGACATTTCAGCGCGTAATGGAAGCAGTCCTGAGTGGCTTATGTAACACACCGGTCCAGCCATTCTGCCGTGTGTTCTTTGATGATGTCCTGAATGCCAGCGAAACGCTGTCTGGCCAACTCCAGATTCTGCTGCCCGTGTTCGCGCGAGTTCGGTCCGCTGGACTGCGGTTCAATCTGAAGAAATGCTCCTTCTTCCAGGAGGAGGTCACTTTCTTAGGACACCGCGTGTCAGCGGAGGGCATCTCCCCGAATGAAGCCAAACTCGTCGCGGTCAGGAACTGGAAGACTCCGAAATCTGTCACAGCTGTCCGCGAGTTCCTTGGCTTCGCTGGATATTATCGCCGCTTCATCCGTGGGTTCGCCCAGCGTGCTGCTCCGCTGACTGCTCTGACAGGCAAGAATGCTCGCTTTGCATGGTCGAAAGCTTGCGAAGCGGCGTTCCAGGCTCTGAAGCGTTCGCTTGCCAGTGCGCCGGTGATGGCGTACCCCCAGTTTGAAGATTCAGCAGGTGCATTCATTCTGGACACCGATGCGAGCAATGTGTCGATTGGTGCAGTCCTCAGTCAGATCCAGGATGGAACTGAGCGACCAATTGGGTACGGCAGCCGTGTACTGACGAAAGCTGAGCGCAACTACGATGCTAGCGATCGTGAGGCCCTTGCTCTGGTCTATTTTGCGGAGTATTTCAGGCACTACTTGTTGGCACGACCATTTGTTGCCAGGACGGACAATACTGCGTTGACTGCACTCCGGAACCTGAAGGAACCCCGCGGACGGAAAGCACGTTGGCTTGACTGTTTATCCGAATATGAATTCCGAGTCGTCCACCGTCCAGGTCGCCAACATCTGAATGCCGATGCTATGTCCCGCGTGGTGACCGATGTGCCGTCTCCTCCGCCGAGTCCGCCGCCTCTTGCCCGTGATGTTCCGCTGTCAGCTGCTGCTGAAGTGCCAGTTGCTGGAGCCACTTTCGTCAGTTCTCCTGATCCGCCGCCTGATTGTTTTCGGCCGCAGGATATTTTGAGTGCCCAGTCTACTGATCCTGATCTCGCTGCGGTTTTGTCTTGGTACGATGCTGCCAGTGGGAAATTTGTCCGTCCACCTGAAGAGGATATCCGTCCCTTCAGCCGTCTTCAGAAATTCCTTTGGTCTTCTGTTTCTCAGTTGCGTCTTATCGATAAGGTGCTGTATCTTGATCCCCCGTTCGCTCATGATGTTGATGTCGAACATCCTGTTCTGATTGTCCCTGTCGTTTTGCAGTCTGCTGCGCTCGCGTCTGTTCATTCTCTGCCCGGTGCTGGTCACTTTGGCATTGAGAAAACGTTACATCTGGCCCGTCAACGTTTCTTTTGGCAGGGTATGGCATCCGATGTCCAGATTTATGTGCAGAGTTGTCCGACTTGTGCTCAGTTGGCTTCTAAGAATCCAGTGCACCGTGCTCCGTTGCAGTCCATGGCTGCTGGTTTTCCGTTTGAGTTTGTCGCATTGGATATCGTTGGTCCACTTCCTGTGACTCCAACCGGTAACAGGTATGTCCTTGTCATCGTCGACTACTTCACTCGCTGGGCTGAAGCCGTTCCTTTGTCTGCCATTACTGCTGAGGCTGTCGCTCTGGCCTTTGTTCATGGTTGGGTGTCTCGCTTTGGAGCGCCACGTCGCCTCCACTCTGACCAAGGCTCTCAGTTCGAAGCTCGGTTGTTCCAGTCGTTGTGCACCATCCTTGGCATCCGGAAATCCCGCACAACCAGTTACCACCCCGAGGGCAATGGACTTGTTGAACGCCTCAATCGTACGTTAATCCATCACCTGAAGGCTTTTGTTGGCCCTACAGATGTCCATTGGGATATTCACCTTCCGCTTGTTCTTCTCGCCTACCGTGCTGCTGTACACAGTAGTACTGGTTTTACGCCTTCCCGTTTGTTGTATGGTGCTGAGCTTCGCCTGCCTGTTGATCTGGTCTTTCCTCCTCCTGATCCTCCCGAGCTCTCCCCATTTGCCTATGTTCAGCTCGTACGTGATCGTTTAGCTCAGGCTCATTCTCTTGCTCGTGTTCAGTTAGCTGCTGTCCATCGTCACCAGAAGTCAGTGTATGATGCTCACTGCAGTGGTGCTTCGTTTGTCGTTGGCGATTTCGTCTGGCTGCATGATAAGGTGATTCATGCCGGCGAGTCTGCCAAGTTCCACCGTTATTGGTCCGGTCCGTTTCGTGTTGTTCGTGTGAAGGGTCCTACGTCGTATACCTTGTCTATGCCTGGGTGTGAACGTACCGTCCATTTCAATCGCCTCAAGAAAGCTGTAACTGTGTCCGGTCCTGTTACATTGCCGCTGCCCGATGATGATTTGCCACGCTGCGTTCCGCCGCTACAGCCACCGTCGTCTGATCCGGTCCGTACTTCTTCTCCTGTTTCTCGTCGTTCTGGCCGTGTCCGCACTGCACCTGCTCGACTAGCTGACTATGTCCTGGACTGAGTTTATTATTTGGTTTGTTTTCTTTTGTTGTTTCCTAGGTATTTCGTTCATTCCCGTGGACGTGAATTTTAGCTAGGGGGGCACAGTGTAATAGGTGTATGTATGCTACGACCTGAATACTCACTATTTGTATTTCCCGCTCGTTCCCCTTGGCAATGAGCACTCACATAGAAGAGCGCATGCTCCAGTTCTGTTGTAGTCTAGTCTTGAGTTGTCGTTGTCCTGTTCTCCTTGTCTACACTCTTCTCGAATACTTCTAATTATCCAATCATATAAAACCCCTGTGTTCCGGTGTGAGGGGGCATCATTAGCCGGGAGCAGCTAACATGTATGTGTGTGTGTGTGTGTGTGTGTGTGTGTGTGTGTGTGTGTGTGTGTGTGTGTGTGTGTGTGTGTGTGTGTGTGTGTGTGTGTGTGTGTGTGTGTGTGTGTGTCTATGCATCTGGTCACTGGCTTGTGTTTGAGTGTGTGTGTTTGATTGTTTTCCGTTCTTGCCCACCCGGCGGTGATGCAGGTAAGCAGCGACGGCTACATCTCGTTCCGCAACACCCTGCCGATCAACGTCAACTTTCAGAACCTGGTCAACCAGGGTAACAATCCGGTGATCGCACCTTTCTGGGCGGCCAACGACGTGCGAAATGGCCGTGTTTTCTACAGCCTACGGTCTGACCAGGGCACGATCGACAACACGGTTCGCCTGCTGAACGGACAGCCGCCGCTCGCGGATGATGGCATGCCACCAGTTCTGGCTGCCGTGGCGACCAATGTGCCGGCGACCTTCCGCCCGACCGAGGTGCTGGTGGTGACCTGGTCGCACATGCAGGCGTGCCCCGGTGGGCAGCAGGGCCGTAACAACATGCTGCCCGACCTTGGGGTGAGTCCCGATGATGATAGCATTATACATGGGAAGTATTCACTCGCATAAAAGAGCACGCACTTGTATTCGAGTACGAGGGCATGTCCACATGCAAAGGCATGAAAACAAATTAAGACCGAAGAGTGTATTTTGAAGACTTGAATACTCATATTGAAAGACACACCCTTGTATCCGGAACTTGTTGAACGGTGGTGGTGTTTCTTGGTGAAATGGAAAAATAACTTTTTATTGTGCACATACCAGGGCAGGCACTTGTACGTGGGTGAATACGATGGGAAGTATTTTACCCTGCGTTCACCCTGACTTTGCCCGTCGGCCTGTACCGTTTTTGTTGTGTTTTCAAGACATGATTGACATTTCGGTTTCTGAAACAAAGATTGGCTTGCGATATCACCCTAGTTGGAATCTTACTGTTCCGTTCTCCCGCTAAGCTGAGCTTTCTTTCGTCGAAACGATGCCAAACCGACGGTATTTTGGGTGCTGGGTACGTGTGTGTGTGTGTGTGTGTGTGTATGTGTGTGGGCACGTACGTGTGTTTGTGTGTGTGTTCTTGCATGCGTGTGTGTGTGTGCATGTACGTATACGTGTTGCAGTTCAACCACTACCAAGCCATAGTGGCGTGGGACGACTGCCAGACGTTCGTCGTCTTCCTCTACAACAACCTGGCGTGGACGGTGGGCCAGTTCAATCTGCCCACGGTCAGCCGCATCTGGGACGGATTCCGCATCCTCGACGTCGACCAGTCCATCACGGTTTCCGACCCGGACGGTCGCACCGTGGGCCGGCAGATCAACGTCTACGAGCTGACCGACGGTTGCCGAGGTTTGAGTCTGCTGCAGCGGCAGTGCCGTGCCGACGTGGCCTCGCTACCAGCGCTCTCGCCATTCTTGAACCTCGGCGCGCGCTTCTGTCCACCAGCTCTGTTTTTCTTCTTCATCGGATTCCCGTTCAACGGCGCTTTCTTGTCGTTCAACCCCGTCTTCTCGCTCTGTGTTATCTCCCGAGGCTTCTTCTTCGTACCGAGCACCTCTGATCTGGTGAGTTCCAATGCATATGTAGTGAAACCTGTGTGAGGCGATCGCTCAAGGGACTTTCAAAACGTAGTCTCTGTTGCCAGACAGTCTCCTTATCCAGTGTCATATGACTTTAAATAGCATCTCTTGATCCTGGTTGCAGTGGTATTGTACTTGCAGGGCAGGTGGTCGCCTTATCCGAGTGGTCGCCTTGATAGGTGTACTGTATATTAAATCTGAATACCATCACTTGGAAAATCCTCACATACGTGCAGATAGTGTATGCTTGTATACTCAGTCTGCTTTTTCGTCCTGTGTGCACTCCTCAGCATTAAAGTTTGCTCACCGTTCACAATAGGGGTGAGACAATTATACCGAATATTCGACTACACGCTCCCCCCCCCCCCCCCCAATAAAAGACAAAAACTTACTCGGTATATTATCATGCTTCTTCATGCAGTTTTGCATTCATTTGCCGCAGAAATCAGCAGTTTCAGACCAGCAAGCTGCAGATTTTGATGTCCAGGCTGTGTGTAGAATATTGATCCAGGACGAGAATGAACCCATGTGACGATTTCCAAAGTTTAGAACCCAGATCAGTGCATTTTATTGGATCACATGCTACCTAGAGCAAAGAGTAGTATGGTAAATAGTACCGTATTATCCGGGGTATGCAGCACTGGAGTATAAGCCGCACTGGAGTATAAGCCACACTGGAGTATAAGCCGCACTGGAGTATAAGCCACACTGGAGTATAAGCCGCACTGGAGTATAAGCCACACTGGAGTATAAGCCACACTGGAGTATAAACCACACTGGAGTATAAGCCACACTGGAGTATAAGTCACACTGGAGTATGAGCCACACTTCCTGCCCCCCCCCCCATTTTTTGCTGCGAGATACAGACATCAACCCTACTTATCACCGTTAATTTGATCATCAGAGTATAAGCCGCACTCCTTGTTTTGGGTGAAGTTTGAGTGTTCAAAGTGCAGCGTACACTCCGGAAAATGCGTTACACATTGCGTTGACCGTAGACTATCCAATGCTGCCGCTGTGCACTCAGCACTTCAATAGTCCCTTTCTAGTTACCACTTCTTTTTCCTTCTCCCTCTTTACTTTCTACAGTCAGACCTCGCTTGACTTAACCGCACACATCCGTTTTCCACAAAAAATATCCGTATAGGCGAGGGAACAGGATAATCGAACACACATACTGTATGTATGCATGACATATGCTGTAAATCGGTAACCAACGATTTTCTTCCGGATGGCGAGGGATCCGGATAAAAGAGGGACGGATAAGCGAGGTCCGACTGTATTTATATTTCTTTACGTTTCTCAGCCGTGGTTGCCCCCCCCCCCCCCCATTTGATTGATAACTACCTGCTATGGCATAAGGAATAAATAAATAAACTCACCTTCTTTGCTGCCTCGTGCGTTGTCCTCTGCAGGTATGCTGCTACCCGTTGTTCGGCATCTTCCGGCCTGCCCTCTCGTTCGGTGCCGGCAGTGGCTGGGTTACCAATCGCTTCACGTCCTTCAACCAGGCCATACAGGAGCGAGATGTCCGCGATACCTGCTGCTTGGCTGGCCGATGCTCGACATTCTTTGAAGAGCGGCCGAACGCTCGCGTGCCTTTCTTCTTCTTCATCTTCTTCTTCTTCGGTTAGTGCGTAGCAACGTTATCAGTTTCCTGCATTGTTGTACAGATGCGTGCTCACTGAAATCCGACCCAAAGTGCAAAACTGGCGCCCTACTGTTCCAACTCCATCACTGTACTACTAGTACATATGGCCGTTCTGCCGCGTCCGTGCCACTTCCAGGGCGTCGAGGGTTGGGCAAGTTGAGGGTTCCAAATATGCACTTTTGGTTGGACTTCACCGAGCGCTACCGTACGTAGATTTCATGCAGGAATATATAATAGCTGATACATGGACTTCGTAATGGAGCTGTTTTCACATCTACCGCATGACAGGGTAGCCATGTTGGTTCCTACTCCACTCAACCCCTGCACCTGTGGGTCACGTGATGTCGGCCATGTTGGTTCCAACTCCACTCAACCCCTGCACCTGTGGGTCACGTGATGTCGGCCATGTTGGCTCCACTGTCCACATGCCATGGTCACTTTCCACACAATTTTAGTCACATGACCAAGCTTTTCAGCCACTCTAGTCTGCTGCTCTGTATGGAGATGCATTCCATAATGGAATGGAAAAAATAAATAATAATAATGAAAAATAATTAAAAAGGCGAGGTGAAGGCAATTTGAAACTCGGAGAAGGCAATACTCGTAATAATGCATGGCCTTCAACATTCGAATCTGGGCTTCGCGCAGGTTGAACAAGACGTTGTGAATACAGAATCACTTGATTGCGCGGTGCGATCGGAGCAGCTGCTTGTTCACTCGTTCATTGTGTGGGCCCGCTGCTCCATTCAATCGCTCTACATCACTCTCAAACTCAGTGCTACAGAGGCCAAGCAGCGTATTATTTCCTCGGAGAAGTGGCGTTTCAGTTCCGCTCGTCATGGATGGCATCACCTATGTTGGCATAGCATAACCATCGATTTCGCTCGGTTTGTTTTAAGTGGCCGCTTCCCTTGCATGGCATCTCTTTCATAACATGCCAGGGAAGGCCGGGAAAGTGATCGCTACTCATTCCATGTCAGCTTGCTCACAGGCCAATCCCTCACAAATCCATCACGAAGTTTTTGTTAACGTAGGAAGTTGCCTGATGATCGTAGTAATACGTGAAACTCAGAGTTGTAACAAAGCTTCCAATCTCTCTCTTGTGTAACGTGGGAAGTAAAAAAAAAAGGTTGTTGCGCAACCTCACTGTTTCCCCGCGTTGTATGTGCCCCTTCCGGTGTGCAGGCTGGGGAAACGGCGATCCGCATTTCAACACGTTGGACTCTGCCAACTACACGTTCAACGGCCTGGGCGAGTACCGCTCCATCCGCGCGCAGGACTCGATGACGATGACCAGCATAGAGGCGCAGGTCCGCACCGAACTGCTCACAGATACCACCGCTACTGTCTTCACCGCCGCAGCTATCGGACAGTTTGATGAGGCTGGAGGTGAGTTGTACTGGAATTTATGATTCTAAAGAAATATTTATTCCCGTAGCTATGCAGAAGACGTTACTTCAGTAACGTCTGGCCCTAGCCAGGGTCCACACAGCTTTAATTTGGTGTTTGTTTGTGTGTTTGTGTCACGCCTGGCGCTATCCCGTATCTGTCCCGTACCGTACCGTACCATCAAACACAGCTGGCCACATACAGCTGGCCGCACTATTCAAATTGGGCTTTCAAACGCAAGATCATAACGTGAAGCAACTTGGAAGAATGAGTATGAATTCGAAGTGTATGGGGGAATGCCTGTAGGGCGATTGTGCGGGTTCGAATCCCAGGTAATGCCTTAAAAAAAATACGAGAATTTAAAAATTTATAATATCCCTATTCTTTTTTTGCCGTCATCAAAGCGGTAGATGGTGTCGTATTGCCCTCGACCGTACCTGTCCCGTACCTGTCCC